TTGAACCCCTGATGTCACATGGATTATTTTACAGATCTCTTTGCTACGTTTCTGGACTTAGGAAGTTTTCAGTTGCGTTGCTGTCTATGGGAGGGCCAGACAGCTCTCAGATTCCATCCTAAATATCTTAAATTGTGTTCCGAAGATGAACGAAGTTCTTACGGGTTTGAAACGGCATGAGGGTGAGTAATTCATGACAGAATTTTCATTTTTGGGTGAACTAACCCTTTAAACCACAATTTTTTAATAGAAAAACCAGTATGTTTTACAAGAACCATAATAATACTGTATTTGTATGAGGAACTGTATTACTACAAAAGCACTTTAAGCACATAAAAATGAGCACATTATAAATGACCACTATCCTCCTGATCTGACAATATATGTACAAATAGCAGGATTTACTGGACAAGACCCTATTCTGAGGTTAAAAATCAACATCTCCTTTCTGTTTAATAATATGATTGCAAACCTGGTACTGCACGTTCACTCAACTGATGTATCTGATTCAGCATAATCTGTTTAATTTGAAATATAAGATTTACTCAGAACTTTCACCTAAATGTTAACAAATCCTAGAAATATCATGTCTGCGCAGACAGGGAGGGTTATAACCTTGTCCAATGTACTGTAATTCGACTGAGCTCACAAAGATTGCACAAAACTGTATATGCTGACATTTGACACAATTGTGAAAGTGACCAACATGCACACAGACACTTTTGTATTTTAGAGTGTTAATCTATCTTTTGTGCATTGGTTTAAACATTTCAGTAATTATATATTTAAAAAAAAAAAGCTTAAAAGGAAATATGGCATCAGTTTTAATGACAGTTTACAATAATTTGTACATTTCAAAACTACTAATTTGCAGTTGATAAGTGTGTGAAAAATATATCGGATTCCACTTTCTCAGTTAAACTGTTACTAAGTAAATTTTCATACAGGTTTTAATAGCAACTTGCAAAACTGTCCACCTTTTACAGGCTCTTTTATACCTTTTTGTAAGTTGCGCTGCATTGTAAATGTTTAATCACATCATAAATGTTTAAGAGACCTTTACACAAATCACATTCAGATTATCAAATCTGGAGCATATTTTGCAACGTTTCTCCAACATTGCCGAACTCTCTCTGTGCTAATCTCCAGAGATTCATGTCTGTCTGCGAAACTTTCAGGGTATGTGGATTTATATGAGAGCTGAAACAACAACATATGGGCAGAGATATGCCTAGGTATCTGTTTATAATAATATCAAGATATAGCATTTGATATATGATACAAATTCGGTGCACAAACAATTTTTTACATAAAAAGTGCAATTTAAAAAAAAATAATAATTACAAAGAAACTGCAAGTAACACATTGAATTAAGCATGCAATATTGAAGTAGAAAAACTGAAATAATATTTTCTTGTAAAATGCATTTCGATAATGTCTGTAGAATTTAATGTTTACAACTTTGAAAAACTAATAACTTCTACTTTTATTATTTTATCTACTGCAAGTTACTTTTTAACTAATTATTAGGCCAGAAAACATTTGTATAGGATGTACTTTGAAGCCATTTTCACTCAGAAAGTGCTAGTTCATTTTACAAATAATTACAATAAAAATACATTTGAATTACATTTTGAAGTAGAAGTAAAATGCCACATCTGTAGATCGTATAATCTTCAATAATTTTCTTTGAAAAATATTTTGCCATGATTACAGAATTCTTTTTTTTGTCCCATTAACTATCCTAATAACTTAGAATAAAAAAGGAAATTCAGAAACCTCTTATTTTATTTTTAAATTATTTTTCAAGTTATTAACTACACTACAACCAACTACACAAAAAAAAAGTCGTTGTAGGATTTACTTAGAAACAATTCTCACTCAGAAATTGCTAGTATATTTCACAAAGAAAATATACTCAACTGAAGTAAAGACTGAAACAGTATTTTCTTGTAAAACAAGTGTATTGACTGCAGTTTGCAAAGCTAAAAGGTATCAAATGAAACTTTTTCTAGACCCTTCTGGCAGTGATGTGCATAGGCGTATGTGTGAATGTCACTGACTCACCTGACCGCTGTAGAGAAGCACAATAAGAATCCAGAGCTGAACTCTGAGCACCGCTCTTCTCCCCGCGAGCGGCATAAACACGGCTCAATATTCACCTGTCCAAGAACAGAGCTCCAGCACGTCACGCCGTGTCCCTCAGGCCACCGCAGCTCCTCTCACTCATAGCGTTTTCTGTCCTCACGCTGGATTTCCTGTTGATTGTCCGATGCGGCTGCTCTGGTCTGGATGAGAGCGGGAGCCTCAAGAGTTCACAGACTCCGGTCCTTCTGTTGCCTAATCTCCGAATGAGAGCGTCTGCGCTGCTTCACTCAGTCCTGCTTCACTTCTGGCCCTTCCCAGCCAATCAAGATAAAGCAAGAGACCAGAACTTCACTGCTACGGCTTATGAAACACAAAGCAAACACAGATTTTAAAGAGAACAATTCAGTTACAGCATCTGAGCATTTTCATCAACAGTTTCATATGTATTATTAGATCATCAAAACTGTAGGAATATGGGAGAGAAAGAAATATTGCACTCTAAAAAATGCTGGGTTAAATACAACCCAGTGCTGGGTAAAATAGGGACGAACCCAGCAATTGGGCTGTTTTGACCCAGCGGTTGGGTTAAATGTTTAACTCAGCCTTCTGGGTAGTAACCCAACCGCTGGGTCAAAACAACACAATTGCTGGATTTGTCCCTATTTTACCCAGCACTGGGTTGTATTTAACCCAGCATTTTTTAAGAGTGTGGTCACAGAGTCAGCTTCATTTTAATGCAGCCTGCAAAATATAAAATGCAAGAACAAAAATGATTTCAAAAGGCTTTATAACTATAATTAAAATAAATAAATAAAAAACTAACAAGTAACACGTTCCACGTAGGGCACAAAACAGGGCCTGAAAATGAAGTCATCTTTTTTTTCCCCCAACATTTTCACATTTAGCACATTATTTCTGTTATTATTACTATTATTAAAATAATAATATATTTTTTATCCAAAGCATTTTTTATTCAACAACCAAAATAATAATAATAATAATAATACGAAATAAAAAGAAATAAAATAATAGACCAGTAAAAAGAGGTGCTTAAACTTCAGAAAAAGTGATATAGTTAAATATTACACAAGCTGTTTTGTTTCCTATTTGGTTGAATTTTAACCCTGTTACTAAAATGTAGGAGACATTTTTTTTTAACATACGATTAAACAAAAACTAATTAAAACAACTGCAACAATATGCCAGAAACGGTAACAAGGTTTCAAAATTTTAACTTATTAAGGGCATGTTTTGGGACCAAATGTTGGCTTGAAGCTGCAGATACATTTATATTTGCAATAAACTGAAGAAAAATATTAGTTTGATCATTTTCTCTTATAGTAACAGGGCAACAGGACTGCAGTCAATACTAATTTGTCAAAATTTTAATAAAATGCATGAATAGGACATCAAGCCGTACCACATTTGTGGAAAGTACCAATCATAAATTTGCTTACATCACAATAAATCACTGTTATGAGCCAGCCATCATCTAAAAGCCTCTGGGTTGGTCTTCAAACTAAACTCACCTTGCTATGTGCCAGCCATTTGTCAAATAAAACTAATAAATAACACCAGACGCCTCTGCTCTTATTGTGCCGCAGCCCAAGCTAATAGAAATGAACTTCACTAGACCTTCAGCACCATGGAAGCTCTTCACTCGTTAGGATAATTACCTGCCATAATGTACAATTATCCACTTTTAACACAGTCTACTAATAGGGATATGAATTTAATGTTCTTCATTCAGGAAGTCAATTACGATGCATTAACAAAATGGAAGTGAATTGACTGGCATGCATTAATGCAACATTCACATCATCATCAGATAAACGTACACATTTGCATATGCTTTTTTTTTTTACTTTAACGACATGCACATTATGCATATATTAAAACATCAACATCTTCCACTGCTATTAAGTTTAATATCTAAATCTCTTAATATATATTACTAATGCAATTCAAACCAATGGACAAAGAATTCAAGATAAAATGAAGATACTTACATGTAAGAGCTCATCTAAAGTGAATTTGAGGAACATCTTAAGCATCTTCTGATGTTCTGATCTTCAGATGATGATCCCTGTGAATTTGTCATTTGCAAACTCTCTGCTCATAAAGTGAATCGTTTGATTCTTAATTCCTGTGATAAAGTGTCCATCTGTATGAAAGTGAATCACGACTGCTGCATGCATGTGTCCGGTCAGCTTTCCTGCGTTTGATGCTACGTGTCCCGCAGATGTAAACAAAATGGGCAACGAACTTGTGCAGTCTGACAGTCTGAAGCTGAAGTGAGTTCTCATGATCTCTCTCGCAGGGTCAAGATGAGCGACAGATATACAAAACAGAACAGATGATAAACAAATGTGCAGAAACAGCGAGCTAACTCTTACATCACTGACGGCCGTGTTTAACACCAAGAGCTTCAAAAATAGCCAAATCAGAACTGCTATATGATATACACTACTGGTCAAACGCTTGGAATAACTGTTTTTTATTTATTTATTTTTTCTGCTAACTGAGGCTGTATTTATTTGATTAAAAATACAGTAAAAATTGTGAAATATTTTTACAGTTTAAAATAACCGTTTTCCATGTGAATATATGTTAAAATGTCATTTATTGCTGTGTTCAAAATTGAATTTTATAGCATCATTACTCCAGTCTCATGATCTTCAGAAATCATTCTAATATGCCGATTTGCTGCTCAAGAAACATTTCTGATTATTATCAATGTTGAAAACAGTTGTGCTGCTGAATATTTTTGTGGAAATGTTTATTTGTCAGGATTCTTTGATGAATAGAAAATTCTAAAGAACAGCATTTATTTGAAATAGAAATCTTTTGTAAAATTATAAATGTCTTTACTGACACTTTTGATCAGTGTAGTCTTTGATGATTGAGTGTTTATTTAATTAGGAAAACTCCTTATCCCAAACTTTTGAATATAAATGCATCACGGTTTTCACAAAAAATACTCAGCAGCACAACTGTTTTCAACATTGATAATAATCAGAAAAGTTTCGTTAGCAGCTTATCAGCATATTAGAATGATTTCTGAAGATCATGTGACACTGAAGACTGGAGTAATGATGCTGAAAATACAGCTTTGATCACAGAAATAAATTACATTTTACAATATATTCACATAGAAAACAGCTTTTTTCAATTGTAATAATATTTCACAATATTCCAAAGTTTTTGAGTGGTAGTGAATGTTTTCGAAAAGCACAGTAGCTCAGTGGAAAATAAATCACTATTTAATCAATACTTCTACTTACATTTAGCACTATATGTAAACGCAGGGGTTGCTGGTAGAGAGAGGGGAAGCACGTATAACAGCATGACTCGGACTCATAAATCTCTCGTGTTGGATTCCACATGACCTTGAGAGCAATTTTCCAGTTTTTTTTCCAGGCTATTTTATTTCCCATCTGGACATGACCAGGGCAACTATGCACATAGTGCTTGTGTGTTGACTTCAGGCACACGCCGCATGCTCATCTCCAGCACATCACGGTGATAAATGAGTGCATTAGCACCTATGAGGTGTGTGACGCTGAATGTAAACACTGAGCAGCGAGCATGCTAACAACCACACCAACATGGTTACATTTCAACTTCAGAAAGACTACAATTAAATATCACTAATGAATCACCCAACTATCATAACACATAAAATGAAACTGTTAGGTTTACTTCGCATTATATGAACATTTCACGCCACAGCTTTAATGTTAAAAAGCCATTAGCTTAATGAGGCTAACGCTAACTAATTTGCAAAAAGTCTACGACAACGGGAGTTTCTCCAGTAGTTTTCTCTTTTAAAACCAGCATTTGAAAGCTTGGTTACGCTTGTTTCACAATGCACATTTACTTCGGCGCTCATATTACATGCGAGAAACATAAATTCAAGAAAAGTTCTGGCATTGCAAAAGACTAATTGAAAAAGCACTATAAACTTTTTTTTTCAGCAAAATATTTCACAATATAGGCTTTTATGAAGTAGCGTAAAATATTGGAGCGAACTACTCACCCATTGTTTGAAAGAGACATCTGTTCTACATACAGCACTTTCTATTCAGTAAATCTGACTGAATCCAGTGATTTAAGCAGTTTATAACTGCACTTTGGAGTTTGGCATCCGTTCCATTGGCTGACTCTTGATAATCATGTTATTATTGATGGATGTTATAAGAGAAAAAATAGATGTGTTAATCAAATCACTTTACTTTCTGCTTAAAGCCTCAGCTCTGTCGCATTTCACATTTTACTGATATAATGAACAGGATATATAGGGTACAACGTGGCTAAAGGCCCACCTTAAGAAAAAATGTGCTATTCACTGCTCCTAAAATGTATAATTGCATTAATGGAGCAACATATTTTGTGTGAAAATAAATCATTCAAGTTGTTTATTTTGTTTAAAAATCTTATAAATGTATGAGGTGGCCACACACGGGGTAAAAGGCACAAGCTATTCATACAAATACTTCAGCTAAAATAATGTTTTTTTAATAATGTCTAAGTTAATACTTGTTAAAAACAATCACTTTAGCAAAGTTTGTACTATTTTCTGCTCATTTTGAAAAATAAAAGAATTAATTTTTGTTCAATAAATATACTGTCATTAAAATATGTTAATATAAAAAATATATTTTAAAATACATAAACTCATTTTAATAAGTAAAGATTCTGAAAGTATTGAAGGAGATCCAATAATAATTGAATATATATTTACAGTAGTAACAACAAATGATATTTTATTATATGATATGATTAATATCATGTTTTTAAATATGATGGTTTAATTCTAAACATGGTGATTATCTCTAAGATGAACACCCAACATAATATATGATATTTACCATCTGAATCTAACCATGCCATGTCAACAAATAGAAAAGTCAGCCATCTATTAATTATCATGTTAATTACTGTGTGCCTTTAGCCCCAACAGCAGGGGCGCTTTTTACCCCAAATACCATACTTTTACATATTCTTTCGTTATTTAAAAACTGTTGCTTTAATTATCTTAAACAAAACTGAAAATCATAAAGAAGACCTTTGTCTCAAAATATATGCATAAATTTTAGCGATTCTCATTTGCTACTTAAATCTACAACATTTTAAAAAACATAAAATATTAGATCAAGTAAGCACAGAATCGACTTTGCGCTGCTGCGCACGATCGCGTCAAGGATCAGACAAATATACACGTGCATCTTGAAAAGTGAATGTTTTGGATAGTGCTACGCCACGTTTTTGTGCCATCTAGTGGTTTAGATGAAAATAATATCAAAGGCGCCTTTTACCCCGGGGCGCATTTAGCCCCGTTGTACCCTATATACAGTGCTGCTTGAAAGTATGTGAACCCTTTAGAATTTCCTATATTTATGCATAAATATCACCCAAAACAATCAGATTTTTGCAAAAGTCCTTAAAGTAGACAAAGAGAATCCAATCAAACAAATTAGACAAAAATATTTTCTTTGTCATTAATTTATTCAGGAAAACGATCCAATATTACATATCTGTGAGTGGCAAAAGTATGTCAATCACTAGGATTAGCAGTTAAAGGTGCACTAAGCGAATTTTGCCAAATGATGTTGATATCTGAAAGCACCAAAACAAACACGCCCATACCCCAACAGGACCTCGCCCTTATTTTGACATCTCCGCCCCACACATATGTACACAACCCTGGCATAACGACGAATGCGGAAACAAGTGAAGATGACACACAAGCATATTCAAACAAAAGCCAACACATAAGTTGTGTGAAACAAAGTCAACGTTACTCATCAAGAAGAAACAAAGCAACCTCGGCGTCCAATTCCAGGCCTTCCTGCTTCTTGAGATCTCTCCACCGCTGGAAAGCTGCTCCGATATTTACACGCATCCTACCTCTTGCCTGATCGTAACTAATGTTTTGTTCCTCTGATATTTTTCTCTTTTTATCTGCCATCTCTCTCTATCTATAATCGATCTGCTAATATCCGTCCTGTGCACTCAAATTGAGCGCTCTCTTCTCTCTATCATTACTAGACATGCCCCTTACTGATTGATACAAGTGTGTTTTGGGACTCAGTCCGACACTGTGGTCAAAAGAGTTTTTCAAATAGTGCTTAGTGCACCTTTAATTTGAAGGTGAAATTAGAGTCCATCTGTTCAGAGGTGTTTTTAATCAGTGAGATGACTATCAGGTGTCAGTGTCTGCCCTGTTTTATTTAAAGAACAGGGATCTATCAAAGTTTGATCAGGTTTGTGGAAGTGTATCATGGCACGAACAAAGGAGATCTCTGAGGACCTAAAAAAAAAAAAAAAAGGGTTGCTGTTTCTCCTCAGGCTATAACCACCTCTAAAGTATTTGATCACCAAATTTTGACTCCTCAGATCGTGTACAAATGGAGGAAAGTCAAGACCACAGTTACCCTCCCCAGGAGTGGTCCACCAACAAAGATCACTCCAAAAGCTACATATATCAAGTTCTGGGAAAAACATCACAGTAATCATTTCTAATCAGCAGAAGTCAATGGTAAGCACAACTAGCATGCCAAACTATCAGGCCTTTTCTAGTCGTTCTTCCACTAATGATGTAACATTCATCAAGATAATGATCTGAAACTCATCAAATGTTGTGCAAGAACAATTAAACATGCAAAACACTCGCAAGGAGCACTCCGTAATGACCCGGACCGTCCGACTCCAGACCTTGATTCACTAGAACTCAAAGGAGACAAATTGGACATGCCACAGGAATTCAGAAGAGCTGAGAAGAGATTTCCTGCTGTTAAGAGAATGTGTTGTTTGTAAAGCTTTTTTTAGTGACCCTTACATAAATTAATGGTTAGGTAAACCGGACTCTTACTTCATCCACATTAAAGGAATAGTTCACCCAAAAATAAAAATTTGCTGAAAATGTGTGCTCACCCTCGGGCCATCCAAAATGTAGATGAGTTTGTTTCTTCTTCAGATTTGGACAAATGTAGCATGGCTTGTAATTGCTGCTTGATCTGTGCAGATTTTATAGATTTCATCCTAAATGTGTGCGTACGCACAAAAGCTAGATTT